CATCTTCCCTTGAGGCATCAAAGATGGTCATTATTCAAGTCACTGTATGAAATAAGCCTTTCTTCTGATTTTTTATGTGTGTTCGTATATATATATAAAAATATATATAAAAACTGATTTTTTTTTTTATTTAAGAACTTCTTTAATCATTACCCTGAAGCTCATTTTAGTATGAGACATTTTCTCCTTTCTCTGCATAATGAAGTTTGTCTATTCAGACAAGCCTCATACAAGGCTCGTGCCAGCTGTAGTTTGGTCTTCAGATTTCAGAGAGCCCTTGCAAGTGTATGAATGCATAGCCATACATATACTTTAACGTGATTTCTTGCCGATATGAGACTTATGTGATCACACTGGGTGAGGAGGATCAGCCTTTTATTTCTTTGATAACTTTTCAACATGTTGGCCAGTTTCAGCCAGTTTAACAAAGGATGCTTAAAAGATGCTATTTTTACACAATATTCATGAACACAGGTATCTGTTTAAAGAAAAGATACTCTATAATGTCTTGGCTGCAGTGGTAGTTACATGTGTATTTCTTAATCAACTTAAATATTTATCCTGCACTATCATTTGGGGTATACCATCATCGTGTAGTGAATAAATGGAAAACTGAAAAGTAACTAAAAAAAAATCTCATCTGGTTCATTTGCAGCTGTGTAATATACTGTGTTGGTACAACACTATGGATATTGCCACGTAAGGAACAGGAAAGCAATTGATAAAGCAGGACTGAGAGAGAGTGTAGTAGGAACTCAGCCTTATTAGACATCAGAGTATCCCGGTTAGAAATCAAGGTGAACGTTACAAATATTTCTGTGGGGAGGATGTTATGCAGTGGTCAGGCTAGTGCCATTTGCAATGTGTGTCTCAATGGACATGACCACTCTGGTCAGTCAGGGTCAGGAATCTTATGGATTGTTTGGTTTGTACTGGGGCAGGAACTCTGAATTGGTTTTCAAGGCTAAGGAGTTCATAATATATTTCTTCTCTGCCATGCCACCTCACACTCCTTTCTTTCCACGTGCCCTAGCTGTCTCAGTGTACATTCTTCTATGTCTAGTAAGAGGTGATGCTGCAGGCTTAGCACAGTGCAGTTAAAGGCAGTGAATTGCCTCACCCAATCCTCTAGAAGACAGATTTCCTTAATTTGTGGTAGTAGGATCCCTGTTCACAGATTTCTTTTTATCTTTCACTGTAAGCACTTGCAAAAAGATCCCAGTGAAATTGCACTACAGTCCAAAAACAAGCCCTGTTTAGATAATGAGGTTGGAACAATAATGAGTTACAGATAACACTTTTCTTCAGTAAGTTTAAAAACATTCATCATCACTAACAATACATCGAGTAAATTTATATTGTTACAAGTTTTGAGTGTTGATTTGCACTGTGAGGATGTTTTTATGTATTTTCCTTTTTTACTTTATGAATTTCTGCAAGAAATTTGCAAGATTTGATTTTTACCATGAAGAAAACAATAGGTAATTTTGAAACAGGGCACGAAAACCCTTGAAATCCTCCAATGGATATAATTTAAAATGCTGTTGCTGATTGAAATCCTGCCTGCACATGTTGTAATCCCTTTGTAAACAGGAAAAAAAAAGGTTTATGAATTTCAGACTGCTATTTATAAGCTTGTAAGAAATTTGTTGTAAGAAATTCTTTATCTACGATTAGCTCTTAGTGTCTTACTGACAGGCTCCACAGTATGCTCATGTTTCTGCAAACACTTCAGGACTGAAAGTATTTCTTACTGAAAAACATCGATGAGTCAGATACACATGGAGACAGAAAACAACACCAGTTTTCCAGAAGTCTGTGTAGTAGGAACAAAGAAATTATGAAAGGTTAAATGGATATTCAAATCTGCCTATTTATTTACATGTAGTCCAGCAGAGTCAAGGTTCAAAGCTTTGCAAATTCCACATTGTTTTTCAGAATGTGCTACTAGTGACAAGACAGATCCCGATACACTGGCATTCAGAGGAGGAACTGAAGAGCAGGTGCCACAGCAGAAGTCCGTTATTTATCCACAGTGAAATCTTCAAACTATAATGACCCACACACAAGTTACAGGACATTTTTCTTTCATATTACACTCCTTTATGATGCCTTTAAAGGGATATCATTACAAACACCAGAAAGTGAAGAGGATACACATTCATTTGATTTTGAAGATTTAACTCTTGAATTACTGAAGTTCCTGTGTGCAGAAGTATGTTCTGAACAGATGTTTAACATGGCAGGAAACATATAGATCAGAGATCCAGATAGCAACTAGGAAATGCATAGCATCTGGCACCTTTTTGAAAGTAAACCTGCCAATAATTAATTACACATATGAGCCACTCTATCCCTGTCTAATGAATTGGACACTTACTAAGATGTATTAGACTATGTAACAGAGGTTAACTGCTCATGCCCTCTCCTTTGTCTTTGGCTTGTGTGGTCCCAGCGTAACTTAAGGGTAGAAATTGTTGGCACTGAGATTATATGTCCTTGATTATATTATCATTGTTACATTAATTAATAATCAAGACATCTTTAGAATCCAAAATGTATGGAGTTCCCATTAGGCAGAAATTGGGGTGGTTCTGTTGCTTTGCCAATGGAGAAAGAATGACTGAAAATGTGAGACTAATTGTAAAGTTTAGAATCAACTACATATATTCAACAGAAGGGGTTAAGAGAGTGCAGCAGTAGAAAAAAAAAAATACATGCCCTCAGGAAAACAAAAGCTGGTAACAGTGTAAAGTAGTCAGGTTTGCTGAAAATAAGCTCTGAAAGTTATCCTTGAAAATACAGAAGCCACTAGAAGTTTGAAGTTACTGAATTACTGTTGAAAGTGCTATTATAAAAATTAAATTACTAGAAACCAAACAATACCAATTGCTGTTCTTTTAAAGCACATAAAGAAATATTGGAGCCCTTAAAGAGCGAGAAAATGAGTTGTTTGTGGTCCTCAGGTTCTACTTACCTTCTGCAGTATTGGGCACTTTCTCACAAGTTTCTATTTCGAGCTAGTAGCCTGTATTCCAGTTGCAGGCCATAAGGCCTAGAAAGGACTGGTCTTTTTTGCGTTAAAACTCTAAAAGCATACCCTCCCTGACGACTTCATACTCCTTCTTTGTCCTAATACAGGTCAGGTGTCTCTCTGTCTTCCTTCTTGTTCTAACTTTCAGCTTTCGTGGAAAATAATTTTCTTTTTTTCCCTTTTTTTTTTTTTAAATGAGTTTGCCTTCTACTACAAAAAGAGTAGCAAGAGCTCTATTTAATGTTATTTCAAGGAAATAATTTTTAAAAGATCCTTGAGAAAGTTCTTAACATGTACAGGCACTACTGTAACATAGCCTGTAGGTGGACTCATCATATCAGGCATACAGCAGTGCTGCATGGTAACACTGGACTAAGTCGTACAATTTTTTTTTAGAACAGCCACCTTTTTCCCCCTTATTATTTTCTCCTCTACTGTCCAGGTCTGAAGAAAAACGAGGTGGTATGCCAAAAAGGTATTCAGTATCTACAGGATGTTCATGCTGTGACTGAAGCTCCCCACAGGCAGAGGTTCTCTGGTTCTTATTCCACTTAATTCATCATTCAGAACTCAGCAGGGGACTCTGCCTGATTTTGGACTTGAAACAGTTAGGCTGGTATTTGCCCCACTCTTTGTCCTCTAAAGGCTTAAAAATGGTATCAATCTACTTTATTATCCCAACAGTATTTTCCAGAGAACTACCTAACTGATAAACTATAGGGTGCAAAGAACATCTCTGTATCAGATTTTACCCTGAAAGATGTATTTCTCATGAGGCATAGTCTAATAATCCTTTTCCGTGTAGCCTGAACTCTATGTGCAGGTTCTTTACAAAACTAATCTCATTAGGGCTGGTCACAGTTTCTCCTTCTATGTTCCTTAACTCTGTGTCTACTTATCACCTGCTCTTATGACCCAGACTGAAACCTTTTAATCAGTGACCAAGTTTAACGAAACTCCCTTACTCATCCTGATGATTTAAAGGCACTTCTATAGCTCATCCTATTGGATATGAACGTGCTTGTTTCCATGCCTTCAAGGCATAAACAAAGAATATATTCCACAAAAACTCTTGAATCAATTAACTTGAGAAGCTACTACACTTGAATCTTAAAAATATAGCTATTTATAGAGCCCTTTGTTTCTGATAGAAAAAAAATGTTAACGATAGCATAAACATTAATGAACCATCAAGCTTGATTTATCTAGTTGTTAACAGACTCGCTACAGACCTGGGATTGTTTTTGCAAGGACTAAAAGGATATATCTTTACTGTGTTCAGTCTAACTTTATGTTAAAATTTACCTCACCAAAAAAATCCCAAACCTGCTAAACATATATTGTCTTATATCATGTCTTATTTTTGTCTGTTGGTATGTGGAATTTTATGATCCAATCTTTTTATACTAATAGTGATGTTGTCTGTGGAGATTTTCTTGCAATGGGAAACCCTCATGCTGAAAGAACTTGTCAGACAACAGAGACAGTTGTGATATGTCAAATTAAGATGGCAAAGTGATGTCAAAGCAGGTCTAGGGAGAGCCCATAACAATGTTACTGTCAAGTAAATAAAGAAAACTGAAACACAAGAAATACAAGTTATTTCAAGAGATCTATGTCTGTGGTACGGCTCTGTGTTTTGAGAGACACTGGTTTAGAATGATCACCATTTGTCAGTAGGGCTTCAGGATAGGAGCAAGAGCTGATGGCTGCCAACTAAGGTCAGCAAAGTTCAGCGTGGAAACGGAGATTTATTTTTTTTCCTTGTTATCAAATTCTCAGAAAACAATTACCATCTAAACAAAATATTAGTTCACCAACAGTCTGCTCAATTAGATACAAAAATTAGCTGGCGGGTTATGCTACTCAGGAGATCACACCTAATAAAAATAATGGTCATCTTGGCCTTAGAAATTTAGGAAGCTTCGTGAGTTCTGTGAGGTTTTTTTATACTTCCTATTTATAGCTGAACTGGTTCACTCACTGATCTCTCAGTATGGCCCCAAGGTTGCCAAAGAGAAGAAATATGAGGAAGTAAGGAGGACCAGTAAAGAGTAAGTGGTTTTACTGCTGTGCAGCTTATCCTTCTCTCTCCTTCCTTTTTTGTCATTCACCATACTCACATTTCAGCTGTGTCATGCCATGATGATAATATTCCCCCTAATAATAGGAAAGAATGTAACAAAGAACTAGAAGGTAGTAGTAGAAAGAAGGAAACAAAAGGCAATTCCTATGTTTAAAAAAAGAGGAGAGAAATAAAAAAGACTAAATAAGCACAGAAAATAGGGCATCAAATAGGAATAACTTATAGACTGAAGCTAAGGAAAAGCTAATAAATTTCAGGAGAAAAATAAAACCTCATACCTAAGGAAAAATTAACACTGAGTAATGCATTTGAATTATACTCCTTGTCGCATTTTCAGGGAAAGCATGGTATTCTCGAGACTGTCATTTGGGATCATGCTTATGATCCATCTTGTCCAGGATGTCACTTTTGACAGCTTTAGAAAGAATTGGAAAAGGTTCTTGAGATGAAGAGAAAGCATCATAGGTGTAGTGAAGGTATAAAGTATTTGCTTGTGTTAGTGACAACAAGCAAATCAGAACAATGTTCTGATTTCTGCTTGTATACTTCTTTGAAAACAATTGACTGTTGAGGTAATTATTCCAAAATGTATTTCCTGTAACGCAGATTTGAGAAGAGGTGAAGGACTGAGAAAAAAGAGAAAGGAGGGGTAGACGTTTCTTCATTTAAATAAGAAAATTGTGAGGGATCAGTAGAACACAAAATCGCAGAATAGTTGGGTTTTCCCAGATGTATTGATTATATGGCAACTTCTTGGGTATCGGTTGTTTTCATTTAGTAATCTTTCTACAAATTTAATCACAAAAATAGCAACTTGATCAGGAAAGGAATGGATCTTGAGAAAATACCACATGACAAAACTTGAAAAATCTTCTAACTTTTCACATTTTAAATTAATTTTTAAAAGGCTTTTTCCATTAATTTTTTTCTTACTCCATCCATTGAAATAAAATATCCAGGCAGCAGCTGTGCCAGAAATTTAGCCGCAACTTTGAGCCACTTATTTGAGTAATATCATAGGATACAGGGGGAAATCAGAAGACTTTCAGGATCATACTTTAATTTTCACAGTGGACTGTTGGGTGTTTGGAAAAAAAAGATTCTTTCTAGTTAAAGAAGAGGTTTGGATTTTCCAGAACCTCTGTCTAAGTGTAGTTTATTTTTTAGTTCTTGCAGGCTTCCACCAAAATAAAATGTTTACCAGTTACTCAAGTCTACCTGAAACTGAAGTAGACTTCAACAGAAAAGCAATAGTTCAATTTTCTAGACATTTTCAAGATTAGAGGTGTTTTAATTTGATCAGCTGCAGTGCAGTGTGATCCCTGGTTTGGCTATTTTGACCCATTGTCTAGAAGGGGACTTTAGAAGAGAAGGAAACACATTTCGTTTCAAATTTAAATTCTAGTATACACTAAGTATCACATTGTTCCAAAAAAAATCTGCTTCACTTAAATTTAATAGGGAATTGTTTTCTTGTAATTAACATTTGTGTTGTATTCTTTTATATGAAAAGAATAATTTTGTGTTATTAATGCTAATTAGAACAATTTCTCAATTGATACATGATAGATTGATATAAATTTTAGATCTGTCCTGGTATAGCAATTAGATAAGCATATTAGTTCACTACGTCAAAACAGATATTTGAAAAGAGATCCATCCAGAGATGCTGTTTTAAGAGGACAGAGAAACACAAATGCATATATTGAGTAAATCCCAACGGACCACTGGCCAAGGAAAAAATTACCACAGGCACTAAATGGAAAACTGGATTAGTTTTGAAAATCTTCAGTGAGATATTAAAGTGAACAGTGGTGGTGGATTTTATTTTATAGATAAGTGATCTTCTTCTCATTTGATGAATGAGAATTTATGCATCCCATTAACATTACTGGAAAATTGACAAAAATTCCATACGTTGGTATAAGGCTAGACTCTTCAGAGTAATGTGGCACTAGCATCAGTTTTGTCAATATCATTACAGCTCATGAGATCACAGTACAAAAGTCTGTAATTTTAAGAAGTAAATCATGTATACATTGTAATAAATCCCCTCTCTGTGGGTATGCTCTCAAGGGTTTTTGCCATTCTGTGATTCCATCTGGATATTTTATAGTCCTCATTTAGATTCCTTTTTAGTAACTGCAGTGGTGAAGAAGTATAGGTTTTCTTACTTTAATAAAATAATTCAAGAAACTGTTACATAGCATTCTTATTCTTTTAAATATTATCCTAGTATTAAGATCTGGTTTATTTTACAAATTTGACTAAAAGGGCCGAACTGTTTGAGTTGGGTTTAAACATATTAAAATCTACTTTTTATGTTGACCTATCAGAGTTTATCTGAGGTGTTTATCTTAAGATATGAGTTCTAAAGATTTCTGATAATATTTTAAAGGTATTTCATTTGATAACCTGGATGATACCTTTTCCTAGATTTTTGGGTACCAGATATAAAGAATATTACATGTGTTGTGCAGTGTCTTTCACCATAACAAAAAACTTAGGAGTATAACTGTCTTGATCAACTACAAAAGCACTGAATCAAATTCACATTCATCATGTTTTTCTGTGTCACTCTTTTGCTCTGTAAAGGAGATCTACTCATACAAAGGATGGTCTGGAGTACTAATACAGCCATCCTTCATGGTCCCTAGAGTTGGCGGTAATGTTGTGTTCTGCCAGTCAAGGCTGCTGAAGGGAATTGTTAAATCCATAACCCTGACTTTGTTATTTTAGTGAGTATACGTTCTTTGGAATAGTGTTTCCTTTCATCTAGTAAAAGCGGAGTTGTAATTATTTTGCAACATGGCTGTGATTTCCATCTGCAGACTTTCTGCAATTCCTGAATATTTGCCAGCCTGTGCTTTTAATAAATTAAGACCATTAGTGTAATTTAAATGTCTACAAAATATGTGACATATGTATGGTTCTAAAACCAATTTTGAGTGTAATCTTGCAAAACACTACATTCTGTTTAATACACATCTTGCTTATTTTTTTTCTAATAATTGCTTTGCTTGGAATAAGAACATCTGTCATTTCAGTTAATAGTTTTACATTCTTAGCATTTACATTCAAACTTTTCACCTATCTTTAATTTTCCCTCCATACTGTCTCTCTTCAGTTCTGTAGTGAACTCACCAGCAACTTGATAATTGATTAAAACCATCAGTTTGTATCGAGGTTTCTCTGAATGACAACGTATAGCAGAGGGGGAATAATGTAGATTTAAACTATCCAAGTAATTTTAATTAATGGCCGAAAAAGAAATCCTAAGTTTATTTCTTTGATTCTAAGTTGGATTTAGCAAAATATTTCAAGAAAACATTTGCCGTAAGATTTTGCTGGCAGAAGAATGACATTTTGCAAGAACAAATAAACTTGAAGGAAAATTTGCATTTCCAACCAAAATATCACCATCACTTTTTTCCTAGTACTATCAGAGCCAAAACATGCTTTAGTTTCTGTCACCAGCATGAACTGTCCTTGAAAATTTGTTACGCCATTCCAACAGAACAAACATTGAACAGAGTATAAGGGAATGGTCTATCAAAAATGGAGACACAATTTGTGAGTGGTGATTACTGGTGGAAAATTCCTACTTTCTCTCTTGGCACAGAAGTCAGTGAGGATTATGGGAAGAGATACCACGGTATGAGTTACCAGCAGTTATAGAGAACAATTTGAAACAGTACAGTTTTGTTTAAAGTACATGGAAGACTGTATCAGTAGGAAATAGAAAATAGCTGACCTTACAAAAATACAAGTTAAAAAGGAGAACTGTAGTATTTTCTGATATTTTTTTTGTCTAGTTTTAGACCTTAAGCTCATTTCTAAGTATATTTAATGCACTTTTCATGCGTTAGTAAAATAATGCATGTAATAGCATGTCTTTATTTTGTCATAAGCATTTTTTTCTGTACAAAGCTCCTGTAGTTTTGCTGAAATGCTGTACAGGAGTAATAAAGGCCAAGTTTTCTCTGTGAACTGGGTTAAATGGATTAAACTTTCCCAAGCTTTTTATTTAGCCATACCTGAGACTTTCAGATAAGTAGAAGCTATAATTGAGTGAAAGATTTCTGCAGGCTCTAAAGTATAGTTAATTGCATCTTTTTTTCTAAGTTCAACATAAGATATAAAAACATTTAACTTTTGTTTTTGCTAATATTACAATTGATTCCAGCTCCAATAAGGTTTTAAGTTGACACAAAATAAAATCATTGAAAGAAAATGCAGGCAAACCTTGATAAAGACCAGATGAAATTGTGGTGGTATTCAGTTAGACTCACACACACATTGTATTAATAATAATAAAAAGAAGTTCAAAACCGTGATCTTATTTCATAAGGATTTTTTTTTAATTGATTTTATCAGCCTACGTTAGATTTCTTCAAAATAGAAATTCACACTGACTAGTTCAGCATGGTGACTTCGAGGTTTTGAACCCATGACTTCATTAATGCCACAGGCGTGACTAAAATAGTGTAGTTGAAATTAATCTTTTTTTAGACATTAATAAGTCATAGTGAAAAGAAATAATTAGCATATCTTTGGGCCAACAGAAGAACACTGAAAAAGAAGTCAAGGAAACCAGAGCATTTCAAGATAATTGCCAGGCATACATCATTTATTCCAGATTAGCTAAGGTCATGCACTTGATGCTCCCAGTTTTTGCATCCATATATGTGGCCATTGTTGCCATCAAATTGCTGAATTTTGATGGCTATATTTAATGGACTGAGAATAGACCATGAAGAAAAGTACTAAGAACAGCAAATATAAAAAGCACGTACTCCATTCAGTTAATCAATGACCTTTTAAACCTTGCTGTATGCAGGAAATATCCACTTGTATTTTAGTAATTACATTAACTTCCTTAATGGCATTTGATACAGATGGTATAGGAAGAACTTATCTGCAGCTGAAGAATGCAGACAACAGTTTTAGTTTGAATTGCAAATACTT